TTTTGAAGCTGAAAAAAAATTAGAAAATTGGATTATTAAATAAAAAAAATAAGAGTTAGCTATATCATATACAATTTTATACAATAAAATGATTTAACTGAGAATTTCAAGATATTTCAGTATTGGTTAATTTTATTTATAAGAAGGTATAAACTGGTATTATAATAACATATAAGAATTAAAAGCTTTTAAGTAATACTCAAGAGCTATTAGAGAAATTCCAGTAATTCATCATTAATTTTAGGATTAAAAAATCTTTGGAATTAAAGAATATTTTTAATATAGATGAAATACTTATTTGATTTGATATTATAGGTAATTTTACTATTAATCTAAAGGAAGAAAACAATTCATATCATATAATAAGTAATAAAAAAAATTGGTTTACTATTGTATTGATATATGCTGCAGGTAAGAATTTTCTCTCTTTTGATATTTTAATGAAATTTAAACTTTATTTGATTTAGTTGATTTATTTTGATTTATTATTAAATAAAACTAAATTATCTCTAATTTGTATTATTAAAGGAAAATAAATGTCATGGAAAAAATAAATTCCTTTTGATATTATGGTTTAGTTTCAGAAAAATGGTTGGATAGATTTAAAGTTAATGATAAAATACATAAACTACTTTAATGATATAAGATCAGGAAATGGTACTCAAAGAAATCCAATAATATTAGTTTATGATTCTTTCAAAAGTCATTTAAAAGAATCAGTCAAAAGAAAATTTTATGAAAGTGGGATTAATTTGGCAGTAATTTCAGCTGATTTAACTAGCATTTGCCAACCACTTTAATATTTTAATTAATAAACTACTTAAAGATAACCTTCATAAAGAATGGCATTTTTGGATGGTTATTAGTAGTGCTAGAGAAACTATCATAAAAAATTTACATCATGCTAAATTCAATGATGTATGTATATAGGTTAAACATTCTTGAAAAGTAATTTTTGACAAAATTATTTTTGATCTTTTAAGACTTGTGTAATTTTATTGATTTAATTAAATCAGATTCTAATTTGAAAATTACTGATAAAAATAAGTTCAGTGATAATGATAGTAATAATGATATCATTGGTAGTGAAAATGACAGTAATTATAAATATTATAGTTTACTAATATAATACAATACATTATAATATAATATAATAAAATGTAATATAAAAATTAATAATAGACATTTTAATTTGCTAAAAAAAATAAAATTTTCATTTAAAAATATGTTTATTTACCATTTGAGCATTTATTTGATGCAGTACTATTAATTTATTAGAAGTTGCTTAATTTTGAATACTTAATAATATTAGAGGTTACTTATTTTTAGAGTTGCTTATTTACAGAAGAATACAGTAATAACTATTGTTATATAATAATTTTATTATAAGACTTTTGAAAATTACAAGTTTGAAGTTATTAGCATTAAATCTGTATTAAGTAAAGTTTTAAATATTTTTTCAGAAAAATATGATAAGCTTGTTAAAGAAATTAAATAAAATATTAAGGTATAATTATTTAATTTTTCAATTTTTTAAATTGTATTAATATATTATAATAAAAAAGATTTATATAACAGTAAAAAAAATTTAGTGTGATTTTATTAGTATAAATCAGATTTTTAGATTTTTAAGTGACAAAAAATTTTTTTTTCAAAAAATCTCATTTTTAGATTAATAGGCTAATGACCAGCCATTTTATATATCTTATTTTACCTTATATTAATAATAGCATTAATACTAATACTAATACTAATACTGTTACTAATACTGAAGTTAAGATTCTTTATTGTAACCAGTTATGTGACTCAAAATAATTAATAAAGTTAATGAATTTAACCAATATGACAAAGTGATCATAATTATCTATTAATTATATATATTACTTATATTCATATTCATATTATTTATTTATTTTATCATTTATATTTATTAGTTATATTTTATTAGTATTTTAACTTATATAAATATCATGTATTTTTTTTTGAGTTAAGATAACTTGAGATAGAGTTTTAGGATAAACTAAGAGTTCAATAAAGAAATCTTTTCTATTACTTTTGTCATGTCTTCATATGGGTGTAATTGTAATAAAAGTATTGTATTTAATTCAACATATTGAATAAAAGTAATTTTCTTTTACAGTTATTAAGTCAACAATACTAATACTTAGAGGTAGAGGATAAGGTAGAGGAGGAATTTTCCTCAAAGAATTTAAATATTCTTTTATTTTAAAAAAAAAAGATTTGGATCTGCTGCAGTGGCACAGTCAAGTGCATAATGAAATTGATTTTTTTATTGTTGTTTTTTCTACTATTATGTATTATCTATTCCTATTGTTGATTATTGATTTAATTAATTAATTAATTATTGATTAATTCTTTTATCGATTTTTGATTTTATAGGTTAGATCGGTGGATCTGCCACTTTGGTTCATTACGGAAACGCAGTCAGGTTAGGCTGATTCACCCTTCTGAAGAACACGGGCTGGTATTTTAGATTTAACTACAGTACTTTTAGTTTAATGTATAACCAATAGTAATCGCAATCTTATGTTTGAATTGGTATAAAAAGTGCATTGATCTCGTTCAACATTCAATTTTGGTTAGATTATTTTAGAGTTCTCAATATAGATTTTTTTTTGCTTATGCATTGGAAAAATTGGGAGGCAATTAATTTTTAAGCTCAACTAGTTATTTAGAATCCTTAGAGTTATAAATACAGACGTGAGAATCGTTGTTTTATCCTCAGATAGAATTAATGAGGATTTAAAGAAGAGCTACCAGATATCAATCTACTTTAGTAATTCTGTTGTCAAATTAATTACGCAGCAACTGTAATGATTAGTGGGTGATCAATTGAAATAAAAGTGGCGATCAGTGCTTGAGCAATCTCTTTTTATCTTTTTATCATGACTAAAAAAAAGGCTAGCTCATACTCCTTTCACAATTTAACTAACTAAAATAAGGAAATTTTTTTCCTTATGTTATCTTTACCAATTTATGGCCATGTAATTCATTTTTGTTTTAAGTCTATTAACGCTTTCAATAATCGATCAGTATAATTGACTAAAGACCCTTGACTTACTCCAAGTGTTTGCTCTAATACTCGTAATCATATTCCATTTGCTAGTTACCATAATGCATACATTTGTTCCAATAAATGTTGCATTATAGGAATCTAAAATAATAGCTGAATGTTAATCGAGTCACAATAGAACGAAAAGTGGCAAGAGTAATGCGAAAGTGTTTTTGAAAAGAGTTATAATCATCTCATCTACTAAAAATGAGAAAAATCCGTCTAATTTAGGTCTTGGCTGATGTTGAATACTTGTATTTGATGGAGGGGGAAAAAAATAGCATAATTAAAGGGTTAAAGAATAATGTTCTTTGCATTTGAACATTCTGTCATTTTTTATTTGCTATAATTATAACTCGCTGGCAAAGACTTGCTGAAACACCATGGTGTAAAATGAAAAGAAGGAAGTACTCTACTCGCCTGTGCAAGCTTTTTGCTTGCTTAATTAATGGTAAAATATAACCAATCAGTGAAAAATATGGTCTATTTTTTTTTTTTGATTTTGTTAGCCAATTAAATCATTCAATAAATCATTGTGTGTTGGAACAGCCTTTATCAAATATATCTAATATTATTATCTTAAGGTGTTTATATAACGATAAAAATTCCTGTAGTTAACTAGAGTTTAAAGATTATATAAACATCGAAAATTCCAAACCAATATAAGCTATATAAATATTACCTCATAAAACTTTCTGAAACTTTTACGCATATCAAAAAAAAGGTTGGAAATAAATGATAAATGTAATAAATTCAATATTTTCGCATATTGAAATTAATAAACTTTCATTGTCATAATCAAATTTTATTTAATGTTATTTGTTAAAGTAGTTAATGTAGTTTATTTATAAAAAGTTAAAATCGAAAATTTAATTTTATATTAAAAATAATATATTTGAATATTTAATTTTATACCTTAATACATTAATATTTTTCTAATAGATCCTATTTTGTTTGATTATTTTTTTCCTATTTTCAAACAATTATCGTCCGCATCAAAAAAAATAAAATAAGTATAAATTTGTGATATCCTTTGCCGAATATAGAAGAAAATATGTAAAAAAAAAAAAAAATAATTGTTTGCTTCAAGTATGCTGCTATATGAATTAACAATAGTTATTTTATTAGTTAATCGACCAATTTTTTATTCGCATACGTCTAATGTCAACATTTTTGAGAACTGGTGGTCTGATGAATGTATTTTAGTACGATTAATCTAGGTCCTTGTATGAGGATGCTGATAAATGTGTGTATGTATTTATTATAATTCTTTTATTTCTAATGCTAATAATGAATATCTGCTTAATTTTTAATAAAAATAAAGTTACAAAATAACTTGGACAAAGAAATATGTGTATTGGATGTTCACATATGGGAGGATACCTAAAAAGAAGCCAATTTTTAGAAATTATTCTATCGACGTTGAATGCCGAATTTTGGATGGAAATATGGAAAATTAGTAAATATTATCAATATAAATTCGCTTTATTTTCATTAAATTTATTGAAAAGACTTGAAAGAGAAATTATTGTATATAAAACCTCATAAAATGTTTAAATTCTTATGAACTAAACCTTTGTAATATGATTTTACAAATGATTAAGAAAAAAGTTTTTGAACATGTTCAACCATTTGTGATTTTATTATACTTGGACGCATAAATTTGAAATTCAATAAGATAAAAAAAAATATTTCCTAATAAATCGGAATTATAAAAAAATTCTTGACGATAGTATATTCGCATCACAACTACTGATGCTCCATTAAAATGACTATTGAAGATGCCTATATAAATATTATGCGACATTACATCATCATCATAAGGTGTTTAAACCTTTTTACCTGTCCGTCATTAGGATTAGGAGATTTGCATGTATACATAAATAATTTATGTTTTCATATTACCATTATGGAAATTCTGAAAACTTTAATTTTTAATAACAGGGCAACGATTTTCGACCTAATCATAAGTTTACGAATTACAAAAAACTTCAAACTCTAAATTATTTTACAAAGAAAACAATCAAAAAAAAAAAAATCTAACCTCTAAATTATTTTACAATGAAAACATGAAAGTTTCGTTTGCACTCCTTTTGTTGGCCTCGCTTACCTTCAATGCCGTTCCAATAGTAGAATACCCAATTGATGAATCATCAATGGCAAAACTTTCTCCAATAAATATATGCATATTCGGCGTTTGCGAAGAAGAACCAAAACATCCACATTCAGGATCCAACTCATCTGCAGAATGAGGTTATCACATCGCTAAATCATACCCAATTGAAGAATCCTACCCAATTGCTTAATCTATTCATTCTTCTTTTTTATTTGATAAATTACTTCATTCATTTAATTGTGTATTTTAAATAATTTTACTTCTTTTTTTTCATATTTAATGATTTAAATATAAATTTTACATATTATTTTTATTGAAGATTAAAAGGAAAAAGTAACTTACTTTAATATTACTTACTATAACGACATCAATCTTTAATACATAAAATACTTTAGTCATGTAATCGAAAATCGAAAATCGAATCTTGGAATCGAATCTTGAGAATCCCTAGTTAGAATCATCTTCCATTATTTTTTAAAAAAAATAACTGGATTTAAAGTTCATTTAAATAATAATGCAGTAAAATTTTCTCTCGCACTTTCTTCTTTTTAACAATAAAAAATATTATTGAAATAAATCTAATGAATCTTGCAACTGAATTAATGATTAAACGTGATTTTATTTTAGCAATATTCTCTTATCAATGCATGGAAACACAGTCTTTATTATTTGGTTGATTACTCGATTGGTTTACATAACTAATAATAGTTGAAGAACTTACTTATTGTATCATATGTTCATTAAAAAAGAGGAAATGACACTTCTTGAATAGTTGTAATTTATGATCATCGACGCTAAATTTTTATGCGGACCGGATACAATATATCGAAGACTATTAAAGTGAATATCAATTACGATTTTAAATTTCATTTTAATAATTCATAAGATATTTTGTATATTTTGAACTTATTTATGATCTGATTTGGAACCTTGCAGATTATTGAAATCGGTGAAATCGAATTTAGCGATAATATCAGAAAAAAAAATGATAATAAGTATAATTTAACACAAACTTTACGAATCAAACATTAAAGGTCACAAAATACTTCTAAACTAGGGATTGTAATTGATTCCAAAAATTATAGATTATCTCAATTATCGGTTTTCAATTATCGATTCTTAATAGCGATATATATATATATATAGTATAGTCACAATCATCGGTCATTTTTTTTTGTTAAAACAATTAATTTGCCAAAAAAAAAAATCATTATTCGAAAAATTAACATCTTATTCAACTTCATATTACATGTAGAACGAGATCTGAAAAACTGAGAAGCAGTCATATAGCATATTTGTGTTAGATCTAATACGTTATGCAGACAGATCATGAATTGCCATCCAGAACTGTTTCTAACTAGTAGGCCTTTTGATAAAATCAAATTCTGTCGGGATTTGCACACTAAATTTCATTTGGTTGCTATGATGATTTATTCTCCTTCTCATTGTTTAATAATTACAGTTCGTTTTCTACCCGTATATTCCTTAGTATTTCGTCTAACCAGATTTATTTCTATATTAAATTTCTAGTGAGTTTTCATGCATCTATTGTTATATTTTAATATTGTTGCACTCAACTAACGTTCCTACATCACCAGGAGAGTGGTCACGTCACGAAAATCATTTCGAAGCTTTAAATTATGCAGATCTAAATTCCCCGCAAATATTTTTTTTTAATCTAAAAACATTTTTTTAAATCATTGTTTAGAATATGTGGAATATACCTTATTATATGGGAGGCGGTCAGTAGAAAAGGGGGGAAATCCACTTTTATAGTAAAAAATTTTTTATTGGCTGATCATGGTCATGTGAACAAAACTAGCTTAATAACTAAAATTACTCAAAATTTGTAGACTTCCCTTTTCTATTGACCGCCCCCCATATTTGCTATATGGGAGCTCATCAGTAAAAAAATGGGGGAAATCTGAAATTTTCATTTATTTTTGAGCACATGATTGTGGACCAATCAATAAAAAAATAAATTTTATAAATTTTAGATCCCATATACAATTTATAATTTATAACCAGAATGTATTATTTGTTATATTCCATGTTGCTTGAAAAGTTCTTTTATTGTGATAATTTCTATTCAACTATTTTCTGAATTCCGCTCCAATTAGATTTTACATTTTTATCCATTTTAAATTATCATCCAAATATTTTTCTTTTTCGGAATCATCTATCCTCAATTAATGTCTTGATTATTTGTTTCTTCAAATTCATATTGTAAATTTGCTCAATCGGTTCAAAATTCTTGTTGTGATTTACGAGCTAAGATAAATCTTCATAAATAAATGGATTATTTAATATTAGAAAAATTAATATTTTTTTTAAATGTTGTTTGGAGACTGAAGGTCTCCGGCTCCGAAATGATTAAATTAAATACCTTTTTAAAATAATTTGTCATTTAATATATATTCATCAATTTGTTAAAAAATATTTAAACAACAAACCCACTTATCAATATCTGTTAAATTGAAATAAGATAGATAAATTCTTTTTGCTGCAATTTTTTTCTATTCACATTTCAATTTTCTCCATTTTGTCATTTCGCGTGTAATCACTATCTGTATTTTCTCTAGATTTTCATTTGCTTTGTTTTCGTAACGATTGTCTAAAGGGGTTTTCAGGGGGGTTGCATTAAGTAACAAATCTTCATCAAGATTTTTTCTTGTGGAAGCCTTGAAAAATCATTGTATAAATAAAATTCCAATAAAAATTAATGACGTCAAATTTTAAACATTAATGCAGTAATGGAGCCAGAAGTTTAAGGTAAAAACTTTTCTTACTGCACTACGTGATCAACTCAAATTTCAAAAGGTAAAGGTTTCAGTTAGAACCACTCGACTATTTCTGAATTTATTCTGAAAAACCCAAAAAATACAAAAAATAAATTCATTCATTTAATCTACTTTCATATGTATATCTTTTTTTTTTTTTTTTTTAATCACAAATATTTAAATAAATATACGTGGATCGTTTATTATAGCGAAATAAAATTAATTATACAAATAAATGTTCAAATTAATAATAATATAATATGAAATAACTTCCCACTTAAACGCTGATAATCATTCTTTTTCATCTTTCATTTGTTTAAAAATTGATCAAACAAGTTCATCCATGCAAGCTATACGAATTCTTAAATCTTAAAACTTCAACTTTCTTACGGAGAATCCATCATGTCATGTAAATGAGTATCCAAAAAAAATATTTATTGAATTAAAAAATATATATATATTGTCTAAATAAACACCAAGCCGTAAAACTTCGTAAAAGAATTAATAATACCACGAAATACACAAAAAGAAGGAGGTTCACTAACATATTTGCTACTATTGAAATGTTTATAGAAAATTTCATATGCACTTCTAAATATAGCATTCTAAAAACTTGCGGAATATCACTATAATAAGATTTCCCAAAAAAGAAAATTCGTTGTAAAAAATCCATTAAATAGATAAAATCGAAGGCGCTCATATTATTTAAGTTGTCTCTTAACCTGAAAATTGTCTATCCAATAGAGAGAGAAAGTAATAAAGTCCGGTATTTCTGTGAAATTATTTTCCGAAAAGATTAATAAATTGTCAGTGATAACATGGATCTTTTTCCAAAACGATTTTCATTCACGAATTTTATATAAATGGTTTTTGTGAAAACCTCTCGATCTCTTCAGCAATCATTGAGAGCTAGAGAATATTAACAGTATTTAAATTTATTGATATTTCGGTTCCAAAAACTCATATGATTCATCATTATTAATAAATGTTTTAAGATAATGTGAATTTCAAATGCTTCTAAGATTTGAATCATTCAAGAATTTTAAAAGAATGTTGAAAATCATATACTTATTTATTAGAATTCCCCTTAAATTCTATCTAATTCTAATAGAATCATTCTAAAAAAAGAATAAAATAAAGTTAATGGATATTATTGTGTATCTTGGTAAAGCCCATTACGAAGTAAAAATAGGAAGTCGCAAATATAAAATTTTTATGAGAATTTATGTCGACGTGACTATTATGTACTTTTTTTACGAGATAATAGATTGAAATGTGATTTAATGAACAAATTTATCATTCAATTTATTACTCCTGCATTTCTAAACTTTCCTTTATGGTATCTTTAAATTATTCTGTTTCGACATATATAAAGGTTGCAAACAAGACTGGGATTACGCTTTTCTTTACATTCTAATCACGATCATTTGCCATTTCTGAAATGTAGTATATGATTTATCACAGTAGTTTACGTTCTCATCGCTATAATCAAAAAACTTGATTTCGATAAGCCGCAAATTTATAAGTCCAGACCATTATAAAAGGTGATCAATAATCAAGTTACGGCAATAATTGAATAATATATTAAAATAATATGTCTCGTAACTCAGCTTATTTATTTTTACTTTTCATTTTTGCCTTCCCCATAACTTTTAATTTACCTTTATACCAATCTCCAGTATTTCTTTTTATATTATATAAGTAGATTCAAATTTAATTTATTGTCGAAACTATTGTCATTGCCAGTATTTAACCAAGTTTATCAATTTCGTCATAAGTTTTTAACTCGTTTCAAAAATCAAATTTCTGCTTTCGAGAAGTATCATTACCTGCTATTCACATTTTAATCATAACTTCGCTTTTACCTTCATTATTTCAAAACATAACATTTCACTTATATTTTATTACCCCTCCATTATTTCTACATCCACTTGCATTACACAAATTTACATAAATTAATTTGAAACTTTTGAATATTTTCATTTAATGTTGTATATAATTTAAAATTTTAATCTCAAAGTAAAATTTGAATGAATAATTTGATTTTTTAATACACATTCTATAAAGAAAGTTTCAAGTTCTAATTGTAAACAAGAAAGTTAAATATTAAAATTATCTTTTAGAATACTTTTACCACAAATATATAATCTTAATATTAATGTAAAAGTAAAATTTAGCATTTTATTAAATGAATCGTTTAAGTTTTTAATAAAGAAAAAAAATAATATATTATATAAATTTATATTTGAAATATTATATACAGAATAATTATCAATATAAAAAAATATTAGAGAAAAATTAAAATTTAATAATCGAAATTCATTATCAAATATATAGAAGGATAATATAATTTATTAATTAATATTTGTTAGTTTTTTTATTAAAATAATAATCTTTTTAAATAAATTCTTTACTATTAAAAATATTAATTTTAAAATATAATATAAATTATAAAACAACAATTATTATTTTATTATAAATAATAAATTATGATTAAAAATATTATAAAATAAGTGCAAGTTAATTTAAAAATCAAATTTTAATGATCTAAATATCATGTAATTTTAATATCAATAATTAATGAATATTATATTAAGCACTATACAATATTTACTACATATTATTCTACAGCTAATGTAGATTATGCTATTAGCGATATCTGTTTGCATCACTAAATGACTGCGCTAATTAGAATCATCAATAATCTCCATAAAAAGAGTAATCACCATTATCACCAATTTCACTGCTATAATAGTTATCACTGATATATTTAATATATTTATTTTATCATTTGTCATTATTTTATTTATTATAATTATTATTATAGCTATATTTATTTTCTTTATTATATTTAATTTCTCTTTCATATATATATATTTTATATAAATATCTGGTATTATCATCTTAACAAAGAGACAAGTTTTTATCTTACAATTAAATAAAGTATAATATTAATAACATAAATTTATATCTTTGCTGATATCTATTTTCTTAAAATATAAATTATCAATAAAGATAACTTTACCCTTCAATTTAATTAAACTTGTGTTTATTTCTTTTATAGTTATAATTTAAACTTCTATTAGCAAATAATCATTGTTATTTTAACGATATAATATTTAAGCTTAACAAGTGGTGATTCCTACTAGGTTTAATCTTTATTAAATATATACATAATAAACTGCTGAAGGACTAGCGAGGTGTATGAATTTTTAGAAAATTAAAAGAATTATATTAAAACATATTGTTAAATATTATACAGATGCATCTCAAAACCTAGATTATACTTATGGTTGGTATTATTGACTCCTCCATTTAACACTCTTTCCAATAGCTTTAAGAATTTTTGAAACTGGTTTAAATATAAATATTAAGCAGAAACGTTTACTTCTAAAACTATCGTTACTTTTAATTTATTTAAACAGCTTAACAATACTCCTAAATCTGAACATTATAATAATTGCTTAACAAGAATTATTTATCAGTTATTTTCTAATATTTGATATCATGTTAGATCTTTTTCATCAGATGTAATATACTTATATATTTAAAGTGTATTTTTTCAAGTAAACTGCTTTCAATAACCTATTACCTTATTTATATCTTTAAAGGTATATACTAAATCTTAGAACAAAAACTAGTAGGACCATAAGAAAATCAACAATTACTTAGATAAATAATTGCATTATTAATACTTTCTGCAATTAGTTTATTAACACACTACCTACCATACCTTCACCTGAAATCATAGCTACAATAGAAGCTGAAATAAGAACTCTTTTTTTAGAGATTTTTGAAAAAAATGAAGCGCATTTGATAGAAATCAGTAATTGATTTAGACTTACTCAAGAGAAAAAAGATTTACAATTAAAATTGATTACTCCTTAGGAGATAAAAATGAAGATTCTATTAGATGGCTTACTGTATTTGAATAAGCTATAATTACAAACAGATGAATAGATAAAGAATATATAAAAGCTATCATTAGAGAACATTTTAAGAGTACAACTGCTTATTGATTTGATAATATAACTGCTATTATATGAGATAACTGATATACAGGAACTAATGGTAACAAAACTTTATAGATTTATTTAATGCTTAATTTATTAATAAAATTAAGAAGAATTAATAGTATCAAGAGTTAATTTCCTTATAATAATAAATAGATGAATCTGTATACTCTTATGCTAATAAACTCAGAAAATTAGTACTTATATTAAATTAGCTGATAATATACAAAAGAAAAGAATGTTCCTTATGAGACTTAATCCTGCTTATATTCTATTAGTCTACTCTTAAAATCTAGCTGATTTAGATGCTACAGTAAATACTACATGAATTATTAAAATTGGATATAACTTTACATCTGAAAAAGCTTCTAAGAATATTAGTATTACTATAATCTCTACTTCTAAATATGTGATCACTAATGTTAAAGTAGATGAACTCATAAAAAAACTAGAATAGTTAACTATTATCTAATTTAATAACTGCATATTAGCTCAACTCTAATAACCTCTAAGAAGATGATTAGACAAAACTTACATAGATCCTATTAAAAGAGCTAAATAAAATATATCTTTTATAACTTATTATAATTGTAATAAAAAAGAACATATAGTCAGAAATTATCTTTAATCTCAATAACAAAGGAGAAATTACAGAAGGCCTCATTATGATAATGAAAGGAATGTACATTTAGCTGATTAATACTATAAGAAAGAATATGATAATAAAGAGTATACCTTAGAAGTATATTATAAGAAAGAAGATTATAAAGTCTACTTAAACACTAGATTTGAACTTTATCCTAGAAATATCATTTTTAAAAATAAAAGAAGACAAGAAAAATCTCAAAGACTACCTAAAACTCTCATTATTGAAGACTTCAAAATGGAAAATCCTGCATCAAAATATGTACTTGAACTAGTTAAAGCTAAAAAAGCATCATAAACTCTTAATAAAGATTACTATCTACTCCTTTTGAACAACTGATTGAATTCATGTCTTTATATATCTGCAAAATTTATTGTGTTAACTTTTTGTTAATCAAGCTATACATACTATTTCTAAATATCATCTGAATTAGCTTGAGCTATCAGATACTCAAGAGTAAAGACTGCTAATAAAACTAAGAATGCTAATTTAGTGGAAAGTGATAATGAATTAACTTCTGCTATTAAATATACTTTGAGGATTAGACAAAAGCTCAATTTGTAATAATTAATAGTAAAGCTATTACCATAATTAAAGTCTGAGTAAAGAAGCTAAAATATAAAATGAATTCAAAAATAATAATTGTAATAGTCAATGATGCTAGAACTCATTCCCTTAAAAATATGATAATATTCTAGTAAATATTAGAAAAATCAAAATACTTATTTTATTCTAAGTACTTGAATTTAGAGATAAAATTTTTATACTTAGAAATGATTAGTTCAGAGAAACTAATACTACTATGAATTAAGAATAATCTATCCTTACTATCAAATAAGATGGAGTAATTATGAAAATTCCTATTACCTTCACTAAAATAGCTAAAGTTGTAACTCAAGAAACTGAAGATGAATATAAAAGCAATAAATATGAGAATAAGTATTTAAAAGAATATCTTATATATTTATTTGATAACATTAAATATGAAGAATTAGAATAGAATAATGAATTAGAATTTAATCTCTGGTCTAATTATTACTTTTTTATTTAATCTGAAAAGAATACTATTAATAATGAGAAATTAAATGAATTATTTAAAGATAATCTAGCTGTTTACTTTGCTAAAATTGCCGAATACTCTGCTAAAAGGAATTCAACTCAATTGGAATATTTAAGACTCTTAGACTACAATCAATAACAAATATTCTTAAATCTTTTATCAGACTACTATAATATTTATACAATAAGTCAAACAGAATAGGATGAATAACTGAAATCAAACATTATATTTACACTAGAACAGCTATGCTAATTGCACAAAAACTATACTAACAAATCTAGTGAACACTAAATTTTTGAATAAAGAATTAATTCAAAATTTATGTTACATGAAGAGACCTGATTTAGTAAATTTTTGAGTGATCATTATTTAATACATTTTTAATTGGCTAACTTAAGTGATACATTACACAGATTCAGTGATTTTGACAGCATGCTAAATTTAGCAATATAGAGGGTGATCACAGGTACCTGAATGATAAGTATTTTTTGTTTATTCGCTTTGTTTACATGTTTACATATATTTCTAATTTAAGCATTTGTTTAGAATATAAATGGATGTCAATCACAAATAATAACAAATAATTTTCTTTTAAACAAAAATGGTTAAAACAAAAGAATTGAATGCTGAACAATATGAGCAATTCTTTACAGCTACAAACGAAGTGATTCATATAAAAAAATTGCTGACATTGTACAATGTGATAAAACAACTGTCCATGATGCAATAAAACGTTTTAAAGAAATTGGTTCTGCAATACCAAAAAAATGTTATGACCTGAAGCTACTTTTTAATTCAAATGCATAATCTTCACTCAAAAAGATTATTACACAAAATTCAAAGCATCGTCACCTTACCACTCAAAAAATTCAAGAATTATGGACTAAAAAAAAGTTTTAACTGTTACAATTTGTCAGACTCTTAAAAAAGTCAATTTACGTTCATGTGTTGCCTGCTCTAAACCATTAATTTCTGAAAATAATAAAGAAAAATGATTGGCTTGGGCATTGAAATGAGAAGATTGAATGATTGCAAAATGGAAGAAAGCTGTATGGTCTGATGAATCAACATTTAGCCAATTTTCATAAGGTCATAGCTTACATATATGACGTATACCAGAAGAAGAATTTGATCCTTCTTGTTTAACTGCTACAGTAAAGTACAGTCCCAGTCGAATGTTTTGGGGATGCTTTTTGTGATATGAGTTAGAACCTCTTGTTCCTCTTCACAAATCTGTAACAGAACAAAGATATGCAAAAGTGTTACAGAGGCATGCTATTCCTTCAATTTACAAATTAGTTTCTCGTAAACAAGGAATTTTTCAAGAGGATAATGCCCCACCTCATCGAGCAAAGATTTCTGCTAATGTTCGTAACACCTCTAAGATTTCCATGCTGCCCTGGCCTGCACAAAGCTCTGATTTAATCCTATTGAAAATCTTTAGAATGAAGTTGATAAGAAACTTCATAACTTGCCTAATAAACCTAAAAATGTGGAAGATTTAGAACGTAAGGTAAAATATGCTTGGTATTCAATTCCACTTGAGTATATTCAAAATTTGGTTGAAAGTATGCCCTGTCACATTCAAGCATGTATAACAGCTGAAGGTGGTTCAACAAAGTATTAGTTTTTTATTTTTTTTTTAATAAAATACAGTATATAGGAAATATTCAGAACAAATAAATTTTTTGCTTATTCTAAAAAAAAGTTAATATAATAAGTAAATTCAAATAGTTTAATTAATCGTTCGGGTATCCATGATCACCCTCTGTATATCACCTTCCTATCAGTAGACCCTTATTGAAGATGGCTCTACACTTATTTTTTCATCTCGACTAATACAGTTCCTTCTTCATATAATGGCGAATCTTCTTGTTTCTACCGTAAAAAAAAATAAAAAATTTATGAAATTGTTATATTTTTTCAAGAATTTTGTTTCGAAGTTTTGGAACAAAATATACCTCCTTTCTAGAAATTATTCTATCCATTTCTAATTTTCTAATTCTGTAAAGCCATTATTACAGTATGATTGCTGATTCCGCCTCAACATCCTTACCTTTTATAGCTTATCTTATTAGTTCTTTAGTGTGAAAATAGTTTTGTCAAATTAGCATGTCTGCATAAAATAAAATTTTTATTTTGCGTTTGAAATTTAAAAATTAAAAACTTTGCTTACCTCTTACGAAAGCTCCTTTTCGATTTTATAAACTGCGGAGGTGTCATAATAACTCTCTCAATTTTACAAGTTGATGTTGTTAATGTTGCTATTGTCGTTATGAGCCATTGTTTTCAACAAGAGATTTTTTTGCTAGCTTTTCTTATAGTTTTATTCAATTTGTAAGGAGGGGAATTATGACTAGATGTCTAAAAGTGAAAAAATGCATAATATAACAAATATAAGTTTGACGTTTTTTTTGAAAAAAAAAAGATGTAATCTCTAGAGATAAAAAGTAAATCTCCTTTCTTCTCAATCCGTTCCCTGCAGTGATGGCAAGTGACCCAAATGACCTCAAATGACTCAAATGACTGGTCATGTGTCATTTGGATAATTTCAACATTAAATGACAAATGACCTGGTCATTTAAAAATTATATCATGTGATCTCAATAATTCTAGCCAAAATAATTAATGAAATTTAATGATTCGAACGTTTTCATAAATATTTCATGTGATATAAATTTTAATTCTGGCCAGAATATAGAATTTGGCCTGCATTACATTTAAATGACCAAATGACAAATGACCTCAAATGACTAGGTCATTCGATGGTCATTCAGAGGTCATTTCAAAATTATCAAATGACCTGGTCATTTGCCATCACTGGTTCCCTGGGTGAACATTCAACTTCCTTTGCTATGTTCGATGGGTTCGTTGTGTTTTAGACTTCGATGCTGGTCGAAACGGGTTTGGCCAGGCAACCTTATTCACTGCCTCATCTACGTTAGTATTGCCGATAATCATAGATTCTCTATTGTTAAGGTCGGGACTACCATATTTGCTTGATGAAATTTCCTTGCTATGAGCAAAATATCCGCCTTAAAATAATAATTTTTAAGGATAAACGAATTGGTAAACTTTTCGTAAACGCCAAGAAGTATGGAACCTGTGAAGGAAAGGATGAAAAAAAAAATATTTTATTTTTAATACATTGTTTTATGATATTTCAGAAAAACTGGAATGCTATTTCATCTGAAAAATAAATTTTTATGCCTAATAAAGATGACGAAAAAGAATTTTTTTACCTTTACAATTAAGTTCACGAAATTGTATTCCGAACAATAATCTTTTTGAGATTATTGATAAATATCTGGAAACAAAAAATGGTTTAGTATAGGCGCCTTCTACTAAGCGAACATACGTTATGTAACAACCACGAATCTTGAGGGTTTCACCCTTCCATTGTTGCTTCATTAGGGGATGGGGACGGTTCGAAAAAAGCGACTCCGAGTCGGTTCTGGAACCGATATAAATTCAGCATATTCTGGGTTTCCATGAGTTACAACCAATTTTAAAAATCGAACCGGAACCGACTCCGACCGGTTCCAAGAGTCGGCTCAAAATCGGATTGTTGATAATATGATGCTCTATTAGTATAAATTTGACTTAACGCTCAAAGTTTAATTTACTTAAGAAGAGTTGAAGTAGAACCGAAGAAGAACAGAAATGGAACCGATAGAACGGTCCCCATCCCTAAGCTTCATACATAGTGACAAAGTCGGGACGGAAACGTGCAGGTTAAGGTATACATCCTCCTTCGTAGTTATAATAAATAAAACTGTAACACTCA